TTCTCAGAGTTCACCTGCTTTTCCTTGCATAGGCAGCTCACAAACTCCTGATTGATTCATTATTTCCAAGTTAAATGACTATTCCTTGGTGTGGGGGAAGGGCAATCCATTATTCTTTGACACTTCAGTTCTTACAGTCGGCTGGCCCATATGAAATTTCATACATAGGAATTTTGACACTGGTGTGAATCTAGCCCATGGAGTGCAGAATCCTTTCCACCTAGTCCAGTGGTCGGTGCCAAGAAACCCTGCCGTAGGTAGTTATGAAATAATATCCTCCTAGGGAAAGTTTCTTCCTAACCCTCATCAATCAGATTCTGGCTTGTACTCTGAAGCATGAAGGATTAGTTACTGAATTTTCACCAAAGAGACATGGAATGGCTAAAAATACCGTTTATTTTTCTGACTGATCTGTTAAAGCCTGGTCTGATGGGGTATCCGCTCCACATCAGCTGTGAAGGGGTGAAGGTGGCTAGGTTTGCTGAATAACTATCAAGGTTGCACCTGGAGGAGGAGGTGGAGAACAATGAACACTAATGAAAGGGGGAAGTTCACCAGGCCCACGTAGGGTTTGGGCAGCAACAGGAGGTCTGTAGAATGATAATACTAACACTAGGGAGGGAAAAGATCTCAGCCTAGAGGGATAATACTAAGTGCAGGAGAGTAAAAAAGCAGCCAAAAGGGACTTTGTAGGAAACAGTCCAGGTAAACAGCATCAAGCTGTGGGACTAGGCAGACTCAGCTGCTGGCTGGAGGGTCTCTGAGCAGGAACCCAGAGAAAAAGCCAGGCCTGGGTACCTCTAGCAGCCACTGGGGGATTAATACTGAGGAGCCAAGCACTGGAATCCTGCCCAGCACGGGTGGTCTAGAGAGACTCTGGAACAGAGCTCTCTCCCCAGCAAAGGGAAAAGGCACAGTGACCTGATGGGAGGGGCAGGCCCAAAAGAGGAAGCTGTCAAGTCCTGAGAGAGAAGACAGGAGCACCTGCAGGGAGGGGCACCAGACTGACAGCCCTAATCCCCAGTCTCTGTCACAAGGAGATGCTCCAGTGGGGAGCTGAGCATCCTGTGACCCACAGATTCAATATACCTGCTTTGAAATAAAGCAGGTGAGTATGGGCTTTTCTGAAAATTGCTAGACTTACAAATGGTTTCTTGGCTTTCAGAACTGAACAGGAACCGTAGCAAGTAATAGGTAGCAGGTTTAAAACTAATAAAAGAAAGTTCTTCTTCACACAGCGCGTAGTCAACCTGTGGAACTCCTTGCCAGAGGAGGCGGTGAAGGCTAGGACTATAACAGAGTTTAAAGAGAAGCTAGATAATTTCATGGAGGTTAGGTCCATAAAAGGCTATTAGCCAGGGGATAGATATGGTGTCCCTGGCCTCTGTTTGTCAGAGGCTGGAGAGGGATGGCAGGAGGCAAATCACTTGATCGTTGTCTTCGGTCCACCCCCTCTGGGGCACCTGGTGCTGGCCACTGTCGGCTAGATGGACCTTTGGTCTGACCCAGTACGGCCATTCTTATGTTCTTATATGTAAGTAGAAAAGATAAGAAAGTAGAGTGATACAGAGGATTTGTATATCTGCTTTCCGTTCAGCTGGCAGCCTTCTTACCAAACCATGGTCAAAATAGGCAATATTTTAGTGATGTGGCTACTAGCCAGTCGCTGACTGACTCAGGCAAATGAAACACCCTCCCACCCTTACAGAGATGAGCCCTGCAGGACAGGATTAAGGCATATGGAGAGCTGTCTATCCCTGTTGCCTGTTAGGTAGATTTAAATGGCAAGAAGATTTAGTCTGGCCTCAGGTCATTTCAAACCCTGATCAAGTTACTACATTCCTTCAACCCCCTCCCCAATAATACATTCTTTCTGCTCTTAAAAATGAGCTACAGCAAACCTGCCAAACTGGCAAGAGGCAGAAAAGAAACCTTAATCAATATTTCAATCAGCCACCTGTGGGTGACTGAGAATTGGTAGTTAAGGGCTCTCTTGGGTAAATAAAAAGCTCCTTGTTTTCTTTGAAGAAAGAGCTGTCAGAAAGTTTTGCTTCCTGGGGAATTTATTTTCTTGCATGGGCACTAATGTTCTTCAGCATAAACCAACCCATGTGAATTTAGTCTTCGCTTTAAAAATAAAACCTCATCTACTTACTTCTGAGGTTAGATTCAAAGGAAAAGACCGGGAGGGGGGAGGCAGGTTATGTATAAGATTTCCAGCTATGGTAAATTAATGGAGCCCTAGTCAGCTCCAATAACGCTGATTAAATCCGGTGACGATCAGATTCTTGCAGAGGAATGACTGGCTTGTTCATGGGCTGCAAAAGACGTCTCATCTCTTCTCCTAAACGTTGTGGTCCTGCTTTCAGAATACACTGCAACTGCAACCTTGCCGACTTGAAGGGGGTTTAAGGTGTAACTGTGTGGATTTTGCACAGTGTCCCCCCACTTAAAGCGTCATCTGCCAGTAAGTGACAGCTGGCTGTGACACCCACGGCACCCCCTCCTCTCTGGCCACGTTTTGAACCAGGGACCTGCTCTGGGGTTTGAGTGGGAGGTAGGCGCGGAGGCTGCAATATGGATGCTGAGAGGTAAGAATATAACGCCTAGGGAACTTTTTCACGGGCTGACCTGTGCCAGCTGACTCAGGCTTGAGCCAAGGAGCTGCTGTCTCACTGCTATGGGGACTTTCGGGCATCAGCCCAAGGTGTAGGACCCAAGAACCCAGACTCCAGCCTGAGTCCAAACATCTTCTCCACAATTAAACAGCCCCTTTGCCCAGCCGGCATGGGCCAGCCACAGGCTTTTCATTGAAATGTAGACAGGTCCGCTGACAGGACAGAAATCAAGGAGCTCCCTTTCCCCTCCCTCAGCTGGGGCCACAAGCCCCCTCTGCCCTGGTGAAGAAACCCCAAGCGCAACCCCTCCTGCAGAGCCCTGGCCCAGCCAGCCCCAGCCTTGTCTCCTCCCTTCCTCGGGCCCAGCCTGCCTGCTGTGGGGAAAGCTGCAGCAGCGTCTCTTGATTGAAAGACACTTCTGGTATGCCCCATGCAGGTTCCAGAGCCAAGTCACAACCTCCTCCCCCCCAAACCTTTAACAGGGTTCAAAAAAGAGCTAGATATATTCATGTAGATTAGGTCCATCAATGGCTATTAGCCAGGATGGGTAGGAATGGTGTCCCTAGCCTCTGTTTCCCTGGAGGTGGTGACAGGGAAGGGACCACGGGAGGATTACCTGTTGTGACCCCTCCCGAGTCTGGGGCATCTGGTATTGGACACTGTTGGGCTAGATGGACCTTTGGTCTGACCCAGTGTGGCCGTTCTTATGTTCTTCAGTATCCCCGGGCCCCTGTAAATTGCCCTGCCCCTACACAATTGCTCCTCCCCTCAGTCAGTGGGCCTGAGTGCAGATAACAGGGCATGGTAAGGCCTGCCTGTTAACGACCTTTTAATAGCAACCAATATTCCTCCAGGCGACTGTGTTGTTAAAGTCCGCCTTGCTTTCAGATCTCAGGTGACCATACTGGACTCGGGATCATTTCCCTTCCGACGCTTCTGAAGACTTGGTTCTGGACGAATAGACTGGCTTGTCCTTTGAAAACTTCCCACAAAGGTTGCTACTGAGTGAAGCTTCAGTTTTGTACCCTAGGGAGGGAAGCAAGGCCATGCCGGAGCACTGGGTGTGGCAGAACGCTAGCGTTCCAGCTGATTGTAAGCAAGACCCAGGAGTGGAGACTTTCTATGGCTGCGATCCTGCAATTGGCTGGGGAGGGCGGCTGTGCCAGCCCAGAGCCCCACTGCAGGATTCGAGCCTGGACCTGTCGAGGCTGATTTTACTTATTTTCTGATATTCACATGAGGCCCTTGTTTGGCATCTAGCCCTAGCAGATCACGTTGGTAAGCAGAAGGTCAGAGCAACTCAGAAGCAGGGACAAGCCGTGTACAGTCTATTTCACGCCTCCTCAGTCCCGTGGGGGTTAGCCCAGCATAAATGTCACACTAACCCCCCAAGGCTACCAGCGCACTGTTTGGCGTCGGGCGATTCAGCTCACTGCAGCAAAACGGGCTTCGTGCGAACAGTGCAATGTGCGCCGGGGATGAAAAAAGTGTCACGACAGTATTAACCCATTTATCCAGTGGCACTTTGACCGTGTAAAAGCAAAAGCTGCCATGCTCTGTGAATTGCTGCGTGGTGGAAAGCCATTTGTTTTGGCGCGCTGCAGTACTAAGAGTAATTGCTAAACATGTGTTTAGCCTGTCTCTAGACATTGGATAAGAGGTTCGCTTTCCTACTGCTGCCAGTCTGGCACCCCTCAAGAACTCTAAAGCCACTGAAAATAATAAGGCGGTGGGGGGGGAAGGGCGGTTAATAGTAGTGAAAGGTGACAGGAAATAAATCTTCAAAGAGGTGGAGTTCTCGGCTTTGCTCCTCACACAGCAAGCAGACACTGGAAATGCCTTGGTCTCCCTCTTCCCCACACCACCCATCCTCTATTGCTATCCTAAATACTAATACAATCTTATTCCCAGGTAAGTTTCTCCTGGTCTTGATGTACTTAGGGTTTTCTCATAGGGCCTGTTTGTCCCATCCTATATTTCTTTTGGAGAGATTGCAAACCTTCATATCCGGGATTACAGCCATTACAACCCACCTGATCCGACATCAGTGTGAGTCCAGATCCTGTATGCAGGTATTCAACACCCAACATCGGTGTGAGCCAGTAAAGTAAATGCCCTGGCTCCAGGGCAGTAGAGCCTGAGATTTTTTCACAGGGTCAAAACACGAGCTACTGATTTTCATATATTGTGGCTAGATGTGTTTGGGGAAATTATCCATCTATGTAATCATCCAGTCTGTGTTTACCTGGCATATCTAAGTTTCCATTGCAGGTCAATTAGAGGTTCCACAGGTTCCATGGTAAACTTCGTAGGGGGTGCTCACTTTTTTCAGGTGTCGCTTCCAGCCATATGACCCCCTCCCATTTTTGTTTAAATCTTCAGTTCGAAACGCTAAACACAGACAGCCGAACATGAACAAAGGGAATTCACTCTCCAGTCGTTTGTACTGCCTCATCGGAATGTGACAGTCAGCTGATAAACTTGGAGGTACAGCATAAAAAGAGAGGATGGAGGAGGATGCTGGGAGATGGGATTTGAAAGCTATTTCTCCAATGCTTAAAAAATTAAATGAAGAAAACCTTTGTTTTGTTTTGTTCTTGATTGATTTTCTTTTTCTCAGAAGCAGTTGGCTTACCAGTGAATGTCACGGCACTGGGTTTTGCCACTGTGTGTCTGTAATAGTATTTGGCTATAATGACCCTTTGATCTGAAGTGAATGTATCTTTAAAGATTTTAGTTTTACCCTAACCAGGTCTTTCACTGGTAAAGAAAGCCTTATTTTCTGTAGTCCTGCTGTCTTCCAGCTGGTTGACAGAGAAGGAGAGAATAATAAGTTTTAATTATATCTTCCCAAACAAGCAGATTTGAAAGCAATGCAGGGATTACATGAGAATAAAATCCCTTCAAGCATTAACTGTCGCTGGTAAAAGGATGTTAGATATAATCCTATAAGGTTAGATGTCCAGACATTCTGGTTAAACCAGGACAGTCTAATTTTTAATTTAACGTTCTGTCATCCTGATTATTTTCTTCGGGAGGCTCATGTGTCATATTTTCCTTTGTGCCACACTCAAGAGTGGCACAATCATGAAAATAACACTTTAAATCATCATGCAGCTTTTCTCCTCCAATTACAGCAACCAGCATCACACGTCAAAATGCATTGCACATCCAAAGGCAGAAGAATTATACATTAGAAAGGAATAGATAAGCAAGACAGAAAAAAGAAAGTAATAAGGAAGA